CACCAAACACTGACAAACACTGAACAGCAGGAAAACAACAACAACAAAACAGATGACCCATTAGCAGGACGCATAACTAACGCATAACTAAAGCGACAGTGTCGCAAAGAAAACAAGAAAAGAAGGGGAATAAATGAAAGGAAAGATGCTCGCCGTGTTTTTTAATGCTCACTGGAAGCCAACCGGTAAAAAGAAAAAGTATGTTGCTGAATACTGGAAGTAAAAAGATGTGGCTCTGATTCCATTCCACTGCCGCCTAATGACGATCATTGTCCATTCGACTGAAGTTTCTGTGCAAATCACCGATTTAATGTGCCGATAATAATGTACATTGCGTTTTACGGCTGTTTACGCAAGAGAGAACACACAGCTATTTCGTTATGCAAACAAGAGTAACAGTGCAAGTGTTCAGGTGTTTCACTGGTGGGCATATTAATGAGTGTATTGAGTTTAATTAAAAGTGAAAATATAAGGGAAACTTGTTAGCATTTAGCCAAGTAGTAAAGTGATAGATTCAATGTACAGTGCTGCAAACATGCAAACTCTCTGGTTTCACACTAGCCAAACCAGTGCGTCGCCATGCACTCGGTGTTCCACTCGGTGAGACAGATCCAGCACCAGTTGTAGTTGCAGCGTTTTCGCGTGCAGATCATGTGCATACAGCCGCCGTTGCGTTCAGTGGGCGTTCGGCACTTCGGACAGGGCTTCGCTATCTCGCGAATCTTCAGCCGAGACATGGTGTCCTGCCAGCGCGTGGGCGCCGCCTGGGCTGAACCAGCACCTGAACCTGCAGCACCGGTCACACTGCTGGCCAGCGAGCGCAGCAGACTGAATTTTTCTACCAGGCTGGCCAGGTACGTACTAGGGCGTATTGTCTTTTCTGTGTTTTCCGCCTGTTGAGCACTGGCGCAAAGTTCGGCGTTCGTCTGTTCAATCAGCCCCTCGTAGGGACAACTGACGGGAGCGTAGACGCCCTCATAGGTGCAAAGGAGGCAGTACACCAGCCGGCACTTTGGGCACTCGGTCACCTCACAGCTGGTGGGCGGCATCTTCTCCGGGTAGAGCGCCTGATCACAGTTGGAGTGCGGGCAGAGCATTCCGCCCCGCCTCAGCACCAGCTCCTCGGAGGAGAACCTGGCGTACAGCGAGTAGAAGTGCTCCTCGAGGAGGTTGAGGTGGGCTGACTCGACGGAGGAGCCCTCGCAGTCCATCGGACAGTTGACAGTGTAGCCGAGAGCGTCGACCCAGACGAGGTTCCGCTCGCTGAGCGCCGTTTTGCAGTAGTCTCGAAAGCACGGCAGGCAGATGACGTGATCACAGCCGGGAAAAACGAGCACCACCTCGACGGTGTTGTCCAGACAGGCCAGACAGGAGACGCCAATGTTGTTCCGGCGAAGTCGGTTCAGCGGAGTGACAGCTTCGGCAGTGTTTACCCTTGCTGATGTCTTCGCCTTCTCCTGTTGTTGATGATGATGATGGTCGTGGCCAGCCTCGTCGATGCACTTGAAGTAAAATCGGGCCACCTTTCCGGTGCAGCCCGGAGTGAAGCACTTGCACTCGATGCGGCCTGCAGTCAGCACGTCACTCCAGTCCTGAGGTTCACGGCTGAAGAGAATTGACCCGTTTTCACACTGATCACAAGCGACGCGCAGCTTTCCGGATCGCAGTGCATCGCACGCCTGGCAGTACACAAAAAAGTAGAGCTTTTCTTTGTTGCTTGAGTTGTCTGTAGCTGTCTGCTGTGCGTTATCGGCTATGAGATCGTTGGCGCTTGAAGTTTCAGAATTGTCAATTGTCGTCAGTTTTGTGGGTAATTTACTTAGCGGCACATTAACTTGCTCAATGTTTTCATCAGTGGACCTGGTGTTTCGGGTAACTTTTGACGAGTCCAGTGCGTGTAACATTGAGTAATCACCCAAATCACAGCCACTGATTTCTAAATTGTTTTCCAGTTCCTTGCCCATAAATAGTATTGCCAGGTTAGACCAATTGTCTATGTTGTCTGAAAAAAGTTTGATTAAGTTAATTTAAGTAAATACACAAAAAGTGTTGTTTTGCTGAAACTTACCTTTTAACTGATCACAAAGTTCTTTTTTTACGTCAACCACTTTCATTGATTGTTTCACTGTCATGTTGTATTTGATTATTTGCTTCTGAATTGGATCCATGAAGCACACCTGAATGTGACAGCACTTGTCAACACTGTTTGTTTCATTGTCCTCTGCCAGTAGTGTGCCATCACGAGCTGTCCGGCTATGTGATTCTTCAGTTGCCGACAATTGTAATGCTGAGTTAACGGTTTCTGTCGTTTTTTGGTTTTCACTTTCTTTTACTTGAAGTAAATTGCTTACTAAATACTGGAACATATAGTCAAACAGACGTTCTAGTGCATAGCGAAACATTATAAAATGACAAAAATCATTTCTAAGTGTGCTGCATAAAAAACAAAATTTTTACAATAATTATAAACAAAAGTTTAATTAAAAAACACTTAGAAACAAACTTACAAAAAGTTTAAATGTTAAGCACTTACTAGACAACAAAACATTTGTATGCAAGTAAACACAACATGCGACAATAACAAACGGTCGTTTTAGGTATTTCAAGAAAGATTTCTTTGCAATTTTAACAAAAACTTCTGAAAATTTTTGTGTTTTACAGAAATCACGCTTGTAAATGCTGTTAGATTTCTGGATAGAATAAAACATTCATCGGGCATACTAAAGCTTAAGGCTGGTATATTTTGGGCATACTATGGTACTCGGCCGCCAGGTTGCTGGTAACGTCGCTTTGCTCACACATAGTTTGAAACATTTGTAAATGTTTTATAAACATCTCCCTCTACTATTAAAAATCAGTTTAAATTACGTAGGCTTTCGTTTACTCTCATTCTATGCTTTTCAGCACAATTATTATCAAAACAAATAAGAAAATCCAACTTTGTAGAAAATTAAATCTGACATATTCACACTTTTTCAATTTAATAAATTGAATATTTCCAGTTAATTGTGAACCATATTAAACAAACGGATTTTTTACCAAAAGATGTAAATTATTAACTTGACTTAAAAAATGATTACATAGCAATTGAATAAAATTGAAATTACCGTTTAGCTCAGTTTGTGCAAAAATAATTCTTCTTTTGATTTAACTTGCAGTGAATTATCGTTAAATAAACGGGCAACTAAATAATTTAATGGCGTTGGAGCGCACAAAACGATCGATTTGCGGTATTAATTTAATTACAAAAAAAGAAAGATAAAATAAATGGTCTGGTAGCCTGTGGGAAACATTGCAAGAGCAGGCTGCTTTTGACAGAGAGTGTCTGTGTCTGTGTGTCTGCTTCTGAAAACCTTATCGCAAAAAATGTTGGCGCTGTGTATCACTGTGTGTGTGTGAGTTTTCATGCTAGCATCACTTAATTAAAAGTGATTCAGTTTAAAAGAAAATGATAAGAATGAAAAAATGAAAAAAATACAAAATAATTTCGTTTATTCTACAAATGATTGCCCTTATGGCGGTTAGCTCGATTGCCAATTGAAACGAAAGCACATACCGTTCTACAATTTTTCTCATCTTATACCTCTGCTCCTACTTACGGCTCACTGGTAAGACTAATTTATTGCCATTTAATATCTAAGCTCCTCATAAAGTGCCACCGTGAGGCCAATTGAGACTATAGTTTGGGTGGCTAGCAAACAGAAGATGGAGAAAGAGAAAAGTGGAGCCTAAAAGAGGACACGATCTGTCATGACAAATCCAACTCAAGGAGAAGGAATTCTTGTGTTAGAGGGCAATTTGGCCACTTCGTTTGGGCGAATTCTCCGATTTGAGGCAATTTAGAAAGGCAAGCACGGGAAGAAGGACAACCAGGCCAAGGAGAGGACAAGGAAAAGAAAAAGAAAAAGACTAGAGAATTGCGCAAAGAATGCTCAAGTGACTATTCTCACAAGCATCTCTCTCTCTCTCTCTCTCTCTCTCTCTCTCTCTCTGACTGCACAAACCAAGCAATGTGATCTGCCAACAAATGATTGCCCGCCTGCCTGCCTGTCCGTTCGCCATCAAATAGGAATGCTTTTCTAATTCTTTAAGTGGCCAAACGGTACCTCAGCAGTTTTTGCCACATTGTCATTCCTTTCTTTCTGTTTCAAACATTCTCTCCATTCTCTGCACTTGCCGTTGCTGCTGCAATTCGCTTCTGTTGCCTCAGTAATTAATGCTGCGGTAATGTCACGGACACACACACTCTCTCTCTCTCTCTCTCTCTCTCTCTCTCTCTTAAATTTGTCCAATTCTTTCCTTTTTATTTGTGCTTTGCCGTTGTGTGTCCAATAAGTGTGCTTGTGTGTGTGTGTGTGTGTGTGTGTGTGTGCAGATGCTTTTGTCAATTGCTGCCAAAAAAACAGTGACTGCCCATTAATTGCTGTCGTTTAAGTCAATTCTTTGTTTTTGTTCTTTTGACGTTGACTTGTGAAAAGGAGAAAAACAGAAAGCCTGTCAAAAATACATGCAAGTTGTTATTGGCCAATACTTGACTACAAAAACTTTCAATTGTGTTGGTGTACACTCAGTCAGTGTCAGACCAGGATTTTCATTGCTTTTTTAGTCTGTTTTCTTTTTTTCTTTTTAGTGCCCTTTTTCCTTGGCGCCGGTGTTTGCTTCCAACTGTGCACCATTGCCAGCTCTTTTGCTTTGTGGTCCATTTGCCTTTCCACATTGTGGTGCTCATCCATTTGCACCACAGTGTCGGCACATTAATTTCTTACTGGTAGTTTGGCGTCAGTTTTACTGCAACAGTCAAGAAAGAAAACGCCAACCAAAAAAAAGAATAAGAAGAAAGGAAGCAGTCAGTGAGAATTGCAACTGCAATAATTCTCGTATCGGATGCTGTGTAAGCCTGAAAGTGTCGCAGTGTGTGTGCTGTGTGCTGTTGTGTGAGTTGTGCCCCTTTTTGCCTGCTGTTGACGGCCCACTAATCCCCAGCATTGCTGTTCACTGTTATGCCCACCCCAAAGGCACATTCATTGTACGGCTGTCAGAGAGAGTGCAATGTTTAAGGCTGCACGGCGGTTACCAATTCACCATCACCATCATCACCATCATCACCCTTACCACTTCACTTGGCCTTATATTTCGGCTCCAATTGACAGTGCCAAAACTCAACTGGGCTTTTTCATTAGCCTCTCCAGAAGGCTAACCCCACTGATGAAAAAACCAATGAATGCTAAAAAGAAGATAAAAAAAGTATTTTAAACAGATTAACACTTAGAAGTGAACCATCGCTTGACGTTAGCTATTTTGTTTTTCTCTCTATTAGTTTTTGTCGTTCGTTGGCAATGTTTTAGCGTTTTTAATGTGTTTTTTATTCTCAGAACGTGCTACACAGGAGACGTCTGCTTAAACTCTTAATGCTGGGCTTGAATTAATTAAACGCTTAATTATTTTGCTGACAAGTTGCGCGTTTAAACGGGAACTTACAATCGAAGATGTTTATTAGAAAAGGCTCACATTAAATTAAGTAAAAAAACTTTAGTTTAAAACGGGCAATAAAAACGACGCTAACTTTTAAGGCGATTAAAATTTAATAGAATTTAAACGTTTGTGCACGTTTTAAAGCAATTTATAGCAGAAATAACAACACAATTGCAGCAATTGCAATTTAAAAAGCTATCATTAATCTAGAAACCATTACCATTATTGAATGCAATTAAATAAATAAACTCATAAATACATTAACTCATAATCAATTTTTTAATCAGTAACTCCGCTGTCAGCAGCAAACACATCAACGGGCCCAATGCAGCACATTGCTCATATCTATTCAAACGTATATTTTAAATTTAAACACAATCAAAAAAAACAAAAAAATAGCGAAACATTTCACAGCCATCACGTGCACCTCTCAAATCGACAAAAGAATGGCTATTGGCCCATTAACAGCGAACAAAGTAGCGTACACTAACTGGTGCAGAGGCACAAACCCCTACACTACCCGTTTATGGCGAGACAGACTAGCCGCCATCAAACAAACAGACGAGCTGAGCTGGGCTAACAACAGAAAAAAGCGCCAGCAATGTCTGTCTGACTTTCAGTTTCAATGTGTGTGCTCACGTAGACGGAGGAGACATTGAGGCAAACAAACAAAAAGCAAAGGCGCCCCCGAATTGTTTACCGCCGGCCACCACCACTATTTGCCTGTCTCCCTGCTGCTGTTGCTGATGATGGTGGTGGTCATTTGTTGGCCGGCCTGTGTTCACTCACTCACTTTCCAAGCAAAAGAAAACTGTGCCTGTGCCCCTCCGTCAATAGATCCGAGAAAGGCACTCAAACACTCAATCACTTTTGGCCAGTGCCACTGTGTGTGTTTGTGGAGGCCACGGCCACTGATGCGGCACTGCAGTCACGAGCCGCACAATCCGTCAATGGCCGTTGCCGTCAGTGCCCACAAAAGGAACTGGGCCCACCACCATCACCATCATCCGTCACAAATCAGAAAGCACACAGTGTTTGTCTCTGCTGTGTTCCTGCCTGCCGGTCCTGCGCCGCCGTCGCCGCCGTGAATGAGAGAATCTGGCATCAGTGTTCTCTCCGCTGTTGTCCAAGCTTCAGTCAGTCAGTCAGTCAGTCAGCTAGCAATGGTCGTTTTGGTTGCCGCAGCGGAATGCCGTTTCGGAGTGTCCCGTTCGACTAGTCCACTGACAGGCTGATTGACTAGCGGGCCATTCTTCACCGTATATAGAGTGAACAAAAGCAAAAAGTGAAACAGAAATGAAACATTGAATCAAGCAAACAAACAGAAAGCATTTAGTGTTCACATGAATTTATTACCCACCGGCCTTTTGGGTTATTGAAAGTTTATGCCCGTAGGAACTGACTGCTGTTTTCATTTATAGTTTTGCTTTTTTGCAAGTTTTATTACAATTTTGCTAAGTTATACCATTTTTTTAAAAAACTAGAAACAAACATTTTTTATTTAAAAAGTTTAAAATAATTTACGTTAGTTTGAAAACTGTAAATTTAAAAAAATTTTAACAAAATAAAAACTTAGAAGAAAAAAAACTTACGCTAAACAATTTGCATTGCAGTGAAGTGAGCATACTGTTTTAGCCTTCTTTTTTATCATTTAAAATAATTGCCGCCAACTTTTTGCCTGTCTTTTCACATCTCTTACAGTATATTCTGCAAAAATGAATTTAAAATAAAATAAAATAAGGCCTACTGCTGCCAAAGAAGGCCAGCAGCGGACTGATACACTTTTACAGCTTTGAAAAAAAGCAGGGGCCCTGTGCTCTCTGTTTCAGTGGAGCCATATAGAGTGACTCGTGGCCAAAACTGTTTAGTGCACAGTGCGTGTCGCCCTTCTTCTTCTTCTCTGTGGTGTATTCGGTGGCCAGCACTATTA